TCGGGTCCATTTTCCTTTTTCGGCCCCGCCTCCTGCAGAATATCTGATGATTGTCGTGGGAACAAAGCAGCTGGGGCCGATGTAGCACCTTTTTTGGGTCCCTCAGTTGCTTAACTTCACCTCTCAGCCTCTTAACTTTCCAGTTTCCTCCACCGTCAGTCTGGTTCTCCAAAGGCATTCTGCTCGGTTCTTACGTGGGGTAGTGTGTAGTGTGAAGTTTTTCAGCCTTGCATGGCTTTGCTGTGCATTTGAAGTGGTCGCCGGATGACGTACTGTGGTTTTCAGATGATCATCTATGGTAAGATAGGGTACCTGTGATTTCTTATTAACGTGGTGCTCTAAGATCCTAAGAGAAATTTTGTAGCTTTTTCACGTAGGGTTCTTTGTGGCAGAATGAAACGTGCATTGTCTGCACGTGGATGCAAGTGAAACTGTTTCATTCAGTGAACACGGAACTTCTCAAGTCTGGCTTCCGTTCCCCCCGGCAGAGGGTTTTCTTTGCCCCTTGGGACTGCAGCTAAGGTGTCTGAGATCTGTTCCACCCGCCAAGAACATGTTTCCCTCGGCAGCTTCTTAGGAAGGCCCCCAGGTTGTCTGGCCCGTCCCGCGCCGTATCCAGCAGGTTCTGTCCTTGGCAGCAGTGGAGCCTGAGGCTGATGAGCACACAGCGCTGTCAATTCAGACCGACATGAGCTGCTTCTGTAGGGAAGGTGTTTTCTGTTTGTCGATTTGGTTGGTTGGTTGCTTAAGTGGGGGAGGAGTGGAGACAATAGGAATTCTTAATTTCCTGTATATTTTGAGGAGACAAAATGAAAACTTTCCTACCTACTGACCTTGTTGTTTACGTTGACCAGACACAACTGATTTCAGTTGTCCCCGGTCCCGGCAGCTGCCCTGGTGGCCAGGGGCATGGATCTGAAAGCAGGCCCATCTGGAAGAGTGGGGATTTTAAAGTGCTTTCGAGAAGTGGGGCTTGAGGTGAGCCGAACGGGGGGACGGAGGGGCATGGAGCCGAACGGTGGCTTCTAATAAAACAAATGCAGCACCGCCCGCCCCTCCTCTCGCGTGTGCTGCTGTCCGTCTACCTGGGGACCTCTCCCAGGAGAGCTGGGTTGAAAGACCTGGCTTCTTGCTAACGGTGCTCTTGTCACCGTGTTGTCACCGGATCGCCGCCACGGCACGCACTACGGCTTCACGGCCGGATTCTTGAGGTGGGAGAAGATGCAGGCTCAGGAAGGGGTGGCAAAGGGCGCGTTCAACACCACTACAGACCACATGGGAACGGTGGGCGACGTCCGATCGTTAACTCCCCTCGCGTTCGGGGACCCGGCAGGCCTGCCCGTGTCTGGGGGGCGCCGACCTCGGGCTGGCATCCGCCTCGTTCCTGCGCGCGTTTGCAGCCAGCCCTCGAGTTGGATCGGCCTGGCCGCTCCATACTGTGGTTAAAGCCGTGTGTTTACGCCTTCGCACAGATGTGGAGACCGGGTTTCAGAATGGCGGGGTGATGGAAGTTTCCACGTTTTCAGCAAGCACCGTTGAGTCTCGAATTTGAAGCATTCTGATTTCGGTTTTTAAACGGCTGTCCTGTGAATTGGGCGTTAATGAAGGCCATGTGCGGTACACATTTGCCGAGCGTCTAATATTTTAAATTGTCGTCCACATGACTTTATGTCTTATAGCGTTTCTAAACACGCTCTGGGGCGTACTGTAATTTTCACATTATTATCTCATACTTTGGTTTTAATAGGATTGGTAAAAGTTTTGAAGTTTTAATTTCAGTTTTTTTCCCACTGCTCAGAATTTGATGATATAAAATGAAAAGTGGTTTCCACAGTCACTAACATTCACCAGATTTTGTTCCAAAGCACAGGCTTCAGCAGACTTTTGAATTAAATCCACATTCTCCACCCACGCCTAGTGGTATTATCCAGCAGTTCAAAGATAGGTACGCCATAAACAGCTCCAGTTAAATCATCTAAAAAAAAATTAAAACATGGAAATACAATAAAACAAGAATTGATCACTTTATAGCGGAATACTCTATAAACTGTCTGCATTGGACACATGTGCTGAGTTTTAAAACATCTGAGTTCTGTAATTCTGAAGCGTACAGTTTATTTGAAGGCAGAAACTTTTTTTTCCTCTGCGTATACATACACATACATACATACATACATACATACGGGTTAATATATTTTTTGCTGTCTCAGTTTCATTGATTTTAATTTAGAAAAATCACGAGTGCATAACAAATTCTTCACCTCAACTAAGTGTTTTACCACTGGGTACCAAAGCGTGACCGTGAAATGATGAATTCTGTAAATCTTGTTACTTTATCGACCTGTGTAAAACAAAAATCACACATTAACATAATCTCGAACAGGACAAAGAAATTATTTAAAGGTGTATACATGGTGTAGGAAAGTCACGAGGTCTTTAATTTTTAATGATCGTTAAAGTTTTAAGGTACGTAAGCTCACCTGCGTGGCTCTCTGCCAGCTGCGTGGTGAGTGCCGGGGCTGAAGGGTGGCAGGGGGTTCGCAGTGTCGTGGCTGCTCAGTCTCATCGAACTCACTGCCTGGAGTTACAGCCCTCTGTGTATGAGGCGATTCCAAAACATGCCAGCTTTTGATTATCCTGTTTTAAGGAGTAATTCGCCGTCTCTTCTGGGTCGCCTGGAAAGTTACCTGACGCGTGTTCAAACGATGCCTGCCAGGGGGAACGGGGCGGTGTTCACTGAGCAGTGAAAACACCACTTCAATTTTTTAGCTTATTCGACTTTTTAAAAAAGCCCCCCCCCCATACACCGGAAAAAGAAAGCCCACAACATGTAAAACGAGACCGTTTCTTAAAGCCTGAAAGCAAATGCGTTTCATCGTCAGGCCGTGCCATCCCGGCTACTGTAGAATGTTTTCATCCCCACCCACTCCTCCTGCAGAATGGGGGTTTTGCAAAGCTGTGTGTTGAGGTGAAGAAGAAGGAAGTGCGTGTGATGTCAGGTCCAGGTTGCCGCACCCCAGCCTGTCCTCTGTATGGCCTCCAGCCCCCTTGGGGATGGACGCCTGGGGCGCTCGGAGAATAGGGCATGCCCCCAAAACTTGCAGTCACTTCATGACGTGACAGCTCCCGTGGCCTGATGGGTGCACATCGGCTCACGGCTGGGCCTCGCTCCCCGCACGTGAGGGGCGCCCCACCCCACAGGCACAGCTTCCACGGGCACCCAGTGGGCGTCGTGCAGCCGAGGGCGGCCTGGGTGACTGCTCCCTCCCTGCTGTTCCTTTTGTCCCCGCACACCCAGCACCAGCTGTCCAGCTCTCCTGGCTGTCTCGTCCTTGCCAGACGTGCTGTTTTAAATTTGTTTCCCCGTGTCCACTCACTTGGCAGAAGCATGTCCGATGAGATGGCACTTTGTCGCAGAGCCACCCAGTGCTTTCTGAGCGTCTGAGAGGCCCCTGCCAGGGGTGCAGGCCCTCGTGGGGGTCCGGGTGGGTTCGAGGCCTGCAGTTAGAGACGGGGAGGAGGTGGCCTTGCGTTGGGCCGTAGATTTTGTCACCCCCGAATTGCTCTGCCACGGGAGTGAGAGGGGCTGGGTCCTGCCCCGCTGTCTGTCTCTCTGTGTCCTAAGCTGCGTTCTCAGGTGTTTGCCCGTAAACAGGACGTCTCTGTTTGGGTGACGGATAGTTCAGCATCTGTCCTCTGGGTCTGAATGACAGAATCGGAAGCACATCCAATACCCCGATGCGTTCTGCTGTTTTAACTCTGTGTGGATGTATATTTGTTATTTTGTTTTCTTATTTATGTAAAGTGCCAGGTGGGCGAGAGCAAGGGGGAGATTTTAAAAAACCATTTCAGTGTTTACTTGTTAAAAGTGCCACTTAGGAAGGCATCGATTTCAAAGTGTCAGTTGAGCAGAGGGAAGAGCACAGAGGCCATCAGTCTGCTGCTTCGTTCCTCCAGGGGCCAGGCGAGCAGCTCATGGTCATGCCCGGAGTGCTCTCGGCCCCGGGACTTGATGTGCTCCTTGTTCCTGGTCACCACGCCTGCCCGGGACACCGCGGCTGCAGGAGCGCCAGCTCCTGGGGCTGCTGGGACTCAGGTGGGGGGTGAGTGCACTCACTTATGAAGATGTGGGACCTTTTTGCTTCGGGGATGTAGGAATCAGCACAGCTTTCTTCTTGGTAGCTAGCTGTGTGCCTGAGAATGTGGCTTTTTAAGTCGGGGGCTCTTCCATCGGCGCTGAGGGCCATAGTGGGGCTAAAATGTTTGTGTTTACTTCTCCGTACTCAGGACGACTCGGTGGTGACAGAAGGCATTATATCTTAAAATGCAGACCCAGGGTTATATGCAGCTGAACCCCATGGGCCTGTTACACGTGCATCCCTCCAGACTTTCCGGATGGGAATTTGAAAGGGTTAGGGGTTGGAAATCTGCATTTTAAAAAAGCTTCGGAGGTGATTCTTGTGTATCCTGACATTCGAAAACCACGCTTACAGAGCCGTAAGCCCGCGCCATGGCTCTGAAGAGCAGGCGACAGCTGGCGTCACTGGTAATGTCGCTGATGTCCGTCGGTCTACGCAGTGAGTAACTTACGAAAACGGAAGAAGAGACGAAGTGGTTACCTGAACCGGTGGCTTCAGCCAGGGCCGCCCCTGCCAGGATGGTCGCCGTTTTAAGCGCTGTGGTGAAAACGAGGCCAAATCCGGTCAGCTGTCTTTCGCCCGCCTGACTCATTCCGATAATTGGCATGCGGAAAAGTCTGACTTGGGGACATTTGGAATCTTTTGTGCTTTAGTCATTCCGAATACAAAAATTAGAACGTGTTAAATTTGGAGAGTTAAGCGGTTTTTGCAGAGTGTGTTAAAATGGTTAACATGGGTTAAAACCTTTTTTCTCGCCAGAGTTAGATTTTTGTAGCCATGGTCTATTGCTTTAAATACAGAAAATAGCTAACTTCGCGAAATACTCACTTGCTCCTTTTTTTTCTTTTTCTTTTTAAACAGGAAAAACTAACCCAAGAGTGTGTATTCAGAGAACAGTTTGAAGAAAACTGGTATAACACGTACTCTTCGAATCTATACAAACACGTGGACACTGGAAGGCGATACTATGTTGCGTTAAATAAAGACGGGACCCCAAGAGAAGGAACGAGGACTAAACGGCACCAGAAATTCACACATTTTTTACCTAGACCAGTGGACCCTGACAAAGTACCCGAACTGTATAAGGATATTCTAAGCCAAAGTTGACAGAGACAGTTTCTTCACTTGAGCCCTTAAAAAAAGCAACCACTACAAAGGTTCCGTGAGGTGGGTTCTTATCGATTCGCTGTGTCATCACATCAGCTCCACTGTTGCCAAACTTTGTCGCATGCATCATGTAGGATGGGGACGCGCTGGCTTTGTTCTGCACTCGTGGCCCGTCCCCCGGGGCCGGCCCGTGCCCACTGGCTTGGTTTACGGTGAGAAGACGAGACTGAGCTGGGGGTGGGGTGTGTTGGGGGGACGAGCCGGGTCGGGGGGAGCTGCAGACGGGAGCAAAGCAGAGAGGACGGCGGCCTGATGCATGCTGGGAAATAGACACGCTTTCACACGTCCGGTTCGTTCTCCTTCATCCTGGGTCGGCACCGCTGGTGGCCAGCGCAAGGGCGCGCGCTGCATTTTCAGAGGCTCGGAGGGTGCAGTCTGACTTAAGAGACTTTTTCGGTTCATTCTCGCTGGTGCCATCCCAGTGAATGGAAAGCAAAGACCTCTTAGTAA